TTTCCCTGCTCTTCAGCCTCTTAATGTTGGGCCCCAGGTCCTCTCTCTCTCTTCCCTTTGCTCATCTTTAGCTCCACACAGCCCCCTAGGTCCCAGACTCTGGTAGGGTTCTGTCCTTGGGCCTTAGCACCTCCCATACTCTACTCAGATTCAGGCCCACACAGCCCCCTGGGTCTCCGGCCCTGGCAGGGCTCTTCCCCTGGGCCTTAGCCTTTCCTACCACAGGGTGTCTCCCAGGCACCCTACCCTGCCTGTGGCTTCCCAAGCATCCCAAATTGCTAGTCAGGCTATAAACAACTCAACTCAAAAAGTGCTCATCTTGAAGAGGTATTCTTCAGCTCCTTCTCCCTTCCTAATCAGAGCCAGTTGCACATCTGGCCCTGGGCTAGACTTATATAGCCCTTCCTCCTCTCCCTTCCTGACTGCTGGTCTTCATGGCCAGGCTGACAGGTTTCCTCTTCTGTCCTGATTAACAAGTTTATTGATCTGATCTGCATCTTTACTTCCCCTCACTTGCTTCCTATCTCCTCTGGCAACAAATTGACTGACCTACAGCTAGCCTCTGTGGTGCTGCACTTTCATTTCTAGTAGCAGGGGTCCCCTGCTACGGCAGAGGAAGGAATTATCAATTGAAACAGGTTCTGAGATCCTTACTATCCCTTTCCTCACCCTGCCTGCTCTATAAAATCTGACCACCAAACCCAGTTTGCATGTCCATACAGACTTTCCTCAAAATTTCATGACCAAAAATACCACTTCCCATAGAATTCACATGACGACTCCTATAACACTGAAGATGGTTATTTACAACTACTAAAGGAAAGAGTCTCAACGCCAATTACCGTAAAATGAAAATCCTTCTTAACTTTAAATACAGGTTCAACCTCTTTGATCTGTATGAAAAGATAGGTATCTTTCCCAAAATTACAGCACTTATTCTTTGAGTACACATTAAGTTTTTCAAGAATCTATAAGCAAGTTTAATTAATTAAATTACAATTAAATTAAAACTTGGGTATTTCAAGAAATTTAGTATGTGTGTCAGTATTTCACTGTCCCAAATGATTTCAAGAAGGAACAGCTTTGAATGGATAGCTGATAAATAGCTTAATTACAACCTTCTAAATAGTGTGTGTTATTAAAAATTGGTATTTTGTAGGCTACAGACACTGCTGTAATAGGAAGGATGGTGGTTAGTTGTTGCTAATTTGCAAACACCTTATTTTCTTATAGCTCCCACTCCCCTAAATGAAACATGCACCTTGTTTTTGAAAGACAGAATGTAGAGAAAAAAAAAAAGATTTTTCCAGAGTCATAACCATTCATGTGACAGAGTAAATCCTCCTGGAAACAGTTTCCAGGAAGGGTGTCATCCCAGGAGTCAGTTTGGTGGAAAAAGCAGAAATTTTCTAGTGTGGTAGGACAACAAGGCTAGGCCTCAGACCTCTGCAAGGACAGTAGGAAGACTGTTGCTTCTTTACTGTACATAGCTCTTTATATAAAGTTCTTGCAAATAATGTATTATTTCCATAGGTGACCCAAGCAGGGTGCAGGGCCCAGGGAAAAATCAGCCTTTGCGGGGCCCTGCCTCCAGATGTGAGGAAGCCGGTGGCGGATTCGGCGGTGGGGGAAGGGGTTGCTGAGTGGCTGGAGGTGATGGATTTGGTGGGGGGGGGGTGCCGAAGCCAGCAGAAATGCAAAGTCACCGCAGCCACTCTGCCCAGCTTCACAGGGCCTGGGGCAGTCGCCCCAATGCGCCCCCCCGCAGGGATAGCCCTGATTATTTCTATACCACAAACCTCATCAACAGACTACAGACTGCATGCAGCAGCTCGCTCACCCTCCGTTAGGTCATTAGTTCTCTAGCCAAAAGTTACTGCCTCACCAGCAACTGTTAAAGAGGGTTATCACTGGATTCTGCCCCTGCTGTATGCAGCCCTAGTGAGAAACAAGAGCCATGTTGGGAGCCATGAGTCAGTGTCTATTTGCAATGTTCCACCCCACTTCTCTTCCAGCAAAGAAATCAACCTCTCCGCTTCAGATACACAACTCTGGAAGGCTGATTATGGAGAAAAAGATGGATGTGGTATAAGAGAAAGTACAGTAATTTGTAATGAGTCGGTGGCACGAGAGAGCCCCAATATGGCTAGTACCACTAGCCGTATTGCAGCTGTGCTTTGTACTGCTCTGGTTTACTGGTAACTCTGCCTTAAAAAATTAACTGACTAATACTTAAGGTAAATATTACATGCCAACCAATCAGTAAAAATATCACATGGTAGCACTGTCTGTGTTTGTTAAGTATTCACATATGAAATTTAACACACAGTTTTACCCTCTGGTGGGATAAGAAACAAAACAGTGTCTTAATCACAACTGTACAGTTTTTGCCAGGTGTCACTGAAGGAAGAGTTAAAGATTATTTGAATGCCAAAAACTGTTAAATTGTTGTATATTTTTTAAGTCCTACTCTTTATTTTCTGGGTTTGTAATGCTCCTTTTGTTAGATAATTACAACATTTATTATTTTTACATCTAGTTTACACATGCACTTGCAACTGCACCCAAATGGATGTCTATCTTGTAATATTACTAAAGATTAAAACTGTATTAGGGCCCTTGAGATAAGCATATCGCTTAAGACTGAGATACTTACACACAAATCAAAATAGTCGGAAAAAGTGTAAAAAGGCATGGTGTTTTTTTCCCAACCAGACCCCAAGTAGGCTTTCAATATCCAAACATGCCCACAAGAAGGATCTGCTTTCTGTTTTTTTCTCAGAAAACATAAAAACTTTTTGTCCTGCGAACTCCTGAATATAAAGGGTAGTGTTTGAATCACTAAGTCAATTACCTCCTCAATGTTCTAGGTCACCAAGGAATTCGTAGCCCTCCGAGGTATAACAAAACTTGATATTCTTGCTATTTGCAGAGTAAATGTCAGGTAAAGTTAGAATAGTGTCACAGATCTGTCTTAGAACACCCCTTTGACTTTTACAGATCACTTTTAAGGCCAAGAATAAAAGACTAGAGGCTCTGGTGGCCTCTAGTCACCAGAGAATTAAACTCCTAGTCTGGATTTCTGTTCTCAGGCAGAGTTCCAATTCAAGCTCTGCCACTATCACATTCTAACTAATTAAAAAATGAGCAATGCTGCTAGCCTGAGGACACTACTATTTTAATGCTATTAAGGAAGACCTAAGGCCAGAGCATAGATTAGTTCTCATTTTAAGTCTTATAGTTGGAGACCAACTGAATTTGAGGTGGCTGCCTGCCAATTCTGTGGGCAGAATACAGGGCCCAGTAGCCATTCATAGGCAGTGTGGCTCTGATCGACTGTGGGGAGCTGGTGGCCCCACCCTCTCCACTGATTGGCTGTGAAGACTGCCTGTCGTGCAGCCCCACACCTCATCGCTGACTGGCTGCAAGGGCTGCTGGTCATGCGGCCCTGCACCTCACCGCTGATTGGTAGAGAGAGGCAGGGCAACACGATAGGTAGCCCTCACAGCCAATCAGTAGTGAGGGGTGGGGGCACAGCAGCCATCTCAATGGCAGTCTGTGTGGATTTCATGCTTTTTGCGGGCAATACTGCATTTCACAAAATCCTGATTTCAGCTGGTCCTTACTTATAGTAAATGAAAAATGCAAAAACAATAAGGGCATCCCAGAAGATACATGAATGATATTGGTCCCAAAATGCTTGAGAAGCTAACCAGGGAAATTATTGGACAGGCATACCCTGACACAAGAAAAAACTACGTTTTCTTCAGCATATCTGTTATGGAACCGAATGCCTGCAGTTATAAATTATGCAACTGATAACTTTACCTCTCTTCTTTAAATACTGTCAGAAAGCATGACATTTTTGGTCTTCCATTGCCTTTAACTTGAAGATGAACAGTAACGCTCTACATATGTCCCTTTAAATTAAGCTTTTTTCCTCAAGAATACTAGGACAAAATGGCTTCTTGTCAGTAAGGTCTACTTACTACTTACTCTTAAGGTCACCACTCTTGCTTTGGGATTACGAATAGATGGCCCTGCTGAAACATAATCTACTGTGTCAATTTCAACAGGAAAATGCTGCTCACGTTTCTCGTCACTGTCCAATGCAGTTGGCCATTCAGTGCAGAAATCTGAAGAAATAAAAACAAACAACCAAGTTTGATTCAAGCAATATTATTGACATTCAGGTGACAACGGGACAGTACCATCATATATCTGTATTTACCTTTTAAAGGAATTTTGTGTATTTAAGCAGAAACCACATGGAATAAATACTGAAAAATATCAAAGCCATTACAAGATCACATTACAGGATCACACCAATGACTTCCTTCCTCCCTCCTTCCCTTCCTCTTCCTTAAATATTAGCTTTGTTATCTACTGAAGAACTCTTACTCTATGTCTTCCCCAAAAAAGATAACCTTTAAAGCAAGGGTTAGCAACCTACAACGCAGAAAGAAGTTGAACCTGGCCTTGGGTGGAATGAGGGATTGGACAGCAGAAGGCTAGGTTGCAAGCCATGGTCTGGGGAGGGAAGAAAAATATTACACATGTACCCTAGCATGCATGGAATTCCACCAGTTCAGTGGGTTGCTACATTCTACATTAGCTTTATATTCCAAGCCACTGTAGAATGAAGTACCAAAAAGAGCGCATTATAGTGATAATTACCGAGGGGGAAAAGATGTAGATAACTAGGATAGAATCCTCATGGAAGGGAGAAGACTGAGCTTCTTGAGTACAGATATAGAACTGGTCTTGACCTCAGCCACAACCTGGGTATCAAGGAGGAACATACAGTAGTATCTAATAGAACTAACCTGTACCAGATACACTTTCAATTAGGGTACTTATTTAATTTTCCTCTGTTCTTCCAGATGCTTTCCTCCATGTTATTTCAGGCCTCAATGCACACAGATTATACCAACGTTAGTAGAAGAGTAAAGTTAAAGGACTATATCCCTCAGTGCGGCTTAAGTTATATCGATATAAACATGCTTATACCTGCATGGGAAGGAGACTAAGAACATCTCCCAGTTCATTATGGGGGTTGTACCAATATAGCTGCAGTGAATAAACTGCAGTTAACTGACACAGATATACCAGTTAAAGAAAGCTGTGTAAACCAGCCCTAGTCTTATCATTGAGTTACATCCAAGCTCCATTCTCATCAAGACACTGGATTCATTCATTTCCTAACATTACCTAGACCTAACAGAAAGAGTCTTGCTAGCACATCACAAGCAACATCTGCCTACAGCCAGTCACCTGAGCTAACCCCAACTTCCTTAGAGGGGGAAAAAAGTGAATATGCAGACTTATGTTTCTTATTACATTCAATTTCAATGAGACCACAAAATAAGATACTGGACAATACTGACAGCGAAGTCTGACAAATTCCATCTTTAGATGTGGGTCATTTTCTTATTGCATTGTGGAATGGAGCATCTCAGAGGCTAGCAATATACAACCCTAGGCCAGATCTGGCATGTGAAATCAGGTGGTATGGAGCTGCACCAAGGTGCATGCCTCCTCCACAGCACTCTTATAGAGCCCTCCCTAAAGCTCTTTCTTACTAGCACTTACCATACTCTCATTGCAGAGCAGCAGATATCTGCAATGACAGTGCAGGCACCTCATATTCTTTTGGGGGTGGAAAGGAGCTTGTGGCAGGGAGTGAGGTTGCAAACTTTGGCCTGGGAGGCAAAATGTTGCCAACCCCTATCTTAAGACAAGGAGGCAAGAAAATGCAAAGACAAAAAGAAAAATGAAAGAAAATGCAAAATAACTCACTTTTAAGAGCTGCACAGTGTTTCTTAACTGCACCAGGAGTAAGATGCAAAAAATTGGGAATCTGAAACAAAATATTTTTGAAAATGTTAGAAAAAATATTTTATTTGTAAACTGGTGTGTGTGGACTCTACCTTGACCAGGCAGTAACTTGCTCAAACAAATTCCAATCACATTTTCAATACTTCTTTCATGCATAAAAAATTGATCAGAGAATCAAGGGAGAGGATTATTGTGCAAGTGTCTTTTCCTACCTTTGATCTAACGTAAGTTTAATTAAACATCAATGCACTGTGCAAGCCTTTTACAAAGATGAACAAAACAAATCTGATTGGCTTCATTTATATTTCTACTTTGGTGCAGGGCTATGTTAGAATGAGCCATGTTCACCTTTTTCTCATATATTTAAAATATCAAACAGTAAGTATCTACCCATACCACCAAGCATTTACTTTCCTGACTTGATTTTCAAGATGAACTAAAATGAATGAATTCCTACCTTTATAAGCTCCAAGTTGCCCTCTTTTGATGGAGGTGCTCTTTTCTTCATTGGGTAGCCCATTCGAATGGGAAGTGGAACTACAGAAGGCTTAAATGATGCTGCAACTGGGTAAACATTGCTCCAATCTTGATCAACAGGCATTTTTTTTGTTCTAGGAATTCCAAGCTAAACCAGTTAGAAGTGATAAAAGTTAGATGAAGGTGGTTTGGTTTGAGAGATGAAGCCAGTAACTTCAAGCAACACCTTGAGATAGTATCTGACAAAGTAATTTGTTGCCATGAAACGTCACGGCTTTCTTAACCAGTTATTCTTTAAGGTGTCACACTGCCTTACCTGATGCCTGACTTCAGACTAACCTGGGTAATAACCTCTGTGCTCAACAATTTGTAACAAAGTAAGTGTTTAGTTTAAAAAAAAAATGTTAGTAATAAATGTTTAAGATTAAATCATTTTAACTAAACAGTGTGCAAGATTGCTGTAGTAAAACATTTGTCCACATACACAAAAAACAAGTTGCATCTATACTTAGGTATGTGTGGGGGAGAAGAGGAAGAAAAGGAGGGGAATCTACAAAATTTGCAAACAAAATTGAAGGATGGGGTCACTCAAATACTTAAGAAAACATTCTGGCTGCTTGCAGATGTGAACTCCCCCTGCCCCCCAAAAAACACTTTACCAGAAGAAGCAGCACATTACTTTGATCCAACACCACAGCGTCTGTATAGATCAAGCGCTTTAGAGGAATTTTTTTGGCACTTTTATCTAAAGCGGATTCAATCAGCTATTAGATAAGTGCCAAAAAGGCCCCACTAAAGCACCTGAACTATACAATGTCGAACTAATACACTGCCTCTTTTGGGCATGAGCTGGGCTCGGCATGGGAACGTGCCAAGTTTAAAGTGGTTTGTTTGTTTTTTTCACATCTACAAGCAGCCTGTATGTTACATTTCTTTTTTCATATTGCTTTAAAGTTTAAATGTAACATTCAAAGACTTTTTTTTTTGCCTTAAGGCATACGAAAATGGCCTAAAGGCCTTTCCTCTTTCCCCTTGCTTTTATTTTATTTTAGAAATATGAGAAACAGAAACTCTAGTTATTCACGGTTTTATTAGAAGTCTGTGAAAAGACTTTTATTAGAAGTATGTAGTGTGAGCTTTAAGCACCAAAGTTACAAGAGTATATAGATGCCCAAAAACGCCTCACAGGATTTCCAAAAGTGTCTGAGCAGGTTAGGTAATGCCCCCATCAAATAAACAAAACAAAGCAAAGCAACCCACCAGGAAAGGAACTTTAAAATTGTGGTTCTGAATGCAAGACAGAAGCTCACTAAACAACTTTCTTTCAGATCCTCATATACCCAAAGTGGTTGACCCAAGATATTTAAAATGTGTTATATATTGCTGATTGATGGAAGAATTCCAACAATTTGATCATGGCCCCACCAATGCAGTCACTACACAAAAAGAAGCTGGTCTCTTCCTCAAAGAACTTACTATATAAATCTAAGATAAGAAAAAAAGGGATGAAGCCAGTCAAACTGCTTTGGTAGATCACTAAAATTACTGCTTAGTGCAAATAAACACAAATACAAAGCACACAAGGCGACTACTACAAACCTTCAGATTATTAAAAATAATTCATGGCAACATGCTCTGTGTTTCTTACTTAGTAATCATGAATGACTTTCCTGAATCACAACACCTTATAGGAAATTCCCAGAAAAGAGGGGGAGTCAAAGCTGAGAGAAGCCATGACAGATATTTTAGTCACCTTTGGGACTGGACTCGATGATCTGTAAGGTCCCTTCCAGCCCGTAACTACTATGAAACTATGAAAAATATTGGTCACAAACCAAGGAAACTCAAAGTCAAGGCCACAGTAATATTTTGGATTTCTCTGAAGTGTAACTTGTGTTTACAGTGCTTGGCCTCAGCACAATTACAATACTACTACTATTTTTTGTACTTTTAAAGGTGCATGGTTGATTATGAACAAGGACAGAAGTGACATTTGTGCCAAAAGAAAAGTGGGGCCAGGGAGAGCCTCTGCTTGCCCACACCTCTGGCTTTTCAACACTTGTGTGCAAAGATTCTGGAAAGTGGACATATTCGGTTGTTTTATTGGCTTTATTTTCAGAGAAATGTATTCTTCTTTTAACAAATTTCTGAAACACTGTAAAAAATAAAAAGTAAAACCTGCCTTGGGGTAAGATGCTTGCATACACCTTTATTTCTTACCAGTCTATTATGTCGTGGTACCTCACGTCTTCTCCAGCGTGTACCTACAAGGCAAAATAATTTACCATTAGACTTGCTAAAAATCTCATATATTCATGGCATGGCATCATAACAACAGTAAAATTAATGGATAAAGGCAATCTGCAGAATTACCTGTTACAGTTAATGGAAGCCAGGGAGAACCCTAGCCTTTCAAATTAGGACTTGGGGTGGGTGGCCAGGAAGAGGGGTGGATATCACTCACCTCCCTGCCAGTGTTGAGGATTAGGGGTGCATCGATAGATATTCTAGGGGCTGATACTGATAGCTGATTTTTAAGGAGGCATATCGGCTGATACCAATCTGATTTCTGATACAGTGGGTGCAGCTGGTAAGTCTATTGTGGTGGACAGGGAGGAAGGAGGGAAGAGGCGTTGGGGGGCGGATTAAGGTCCCTGCAGTGAGGAAGGGAGTGGGACAGGGGCAGAGGCTGGGTGTGGGATGGAACCGTGGATTGTCCGGGGGCCGTGGGGTGGGGAGGGAAGCTCCCGCTGCTGTGCACACCTCAGCCCCCAGATCTGCGTGGGGGGGCGCGGGACGGGGCTGTGCCAGGCTCTTCCCGGCACAAGGAAGCTGCACTCAGGGCAGGCGGCAGCAGCGAAACGTGGGGTGGCAGCAGCTCCCCTGTCCCTCCATAGGCACCCCCCAACGTGCTCTGGATGAAACGCACCTCCATCCACTGCCCCACCTGGCTGGGCACCGCCTCCATATCCCCTGCCCCACTCCCTCACTACAGGGGGGCCTCCCACATCCCTTCCCTCCCCCCTCTTCTTCCACCACAACAGACTTACCAGCTGCACACAATTCTCCACGCTGTAGGGCTGTGCTCCTCACCACCTACGTGCTGCGCTGCGGCTGTGCGCATACACAGGCATTTATCGGCCAAATTATTGGCCACATCAGGCCAATTTCCAATACACTCAATTTTCTTTACATTGGTGCTGATCCAGTATCGGACCGATGTATTGGTGCACCTCTATTGAGGATATAACTTTCTGTGGAATTTGGAGGCCTATGAAAGAGTTAGTTTTGTAGCTCTTTGCCCGGGACGGGCAAAGTACAGCCCATGGGCCAGATCCAGCCTGCCAGCTAACTGGATCCAGCTGCAGTCAGGCATGCACCAATTAACTGCATCCAGCCTGGCCAGCGGCTGCACCTGCTATGCTCCACAAGGGTCTGAGTACTGTTGGCTCTTGTCCTGGCAGCATGTACTGCACTCCTAGCCTCCCCTGTAGGAGGGCCCCAGCCCCAGCCAGTCTGCACAGTCCCCAAGCAGGGCTGCTGCTGCCACTGTTGCAGCCACCTGGGGAACTGTTGGGCCCCCCCAGCCTCCAACAACCCTTCCTTCTGTCCCTGCTGCAGCACTCTGGGCAGCAAGTAGGAAGGGGAAGCTGCAGCACTGAGGGGAGCAGGGCAGGCTCTATCTGCAGCTCGCTTTGGTCCTGCTCTTGCATGGCTGGGCAGAGCAGCTTGTGAATGGAGGGGGGGCATGAAGGAGCTCAGCTGCTCACAAAGCCCCACCAAACAGGTGCAGGACAGGCAGGTGAGGTAGAAGCAACAGCAGGAGCCAGCATGGGCTTGACTGCAGCCCCACCAGGCAGGTGTGGGACAGGCAGGTGTAGTGGAAGCAGCAGCAGCAGGAGCCAAAGCAAGTTTGGCTGCAGACCTGGGGGGCAGGTGTGGGACAAGCAGGTAAGGCAGGAGCAGCAGTAGGAGCCAGCACGGGCTCAGCTGCAGCCCTGCTAGGCAGGCATGGGACAGATGTCAAAAGAGCCAATGGCACCAGGCTCTGCTCTCCCTCTCCTAGGGACTTCCCTTGCTTCCCATTGGTGGCAGCTGCTTTCCCGCCCCTTTGCAGCCAGGCAGGCAACACCCATTTGCCCCCGGCCCCATCTGCAGAGGGGCTAGGCTCAGCCATGTCACAGAGTGGGCGAGGGGAAAGCTCCCCACGCACACACATCCAACCCCCCCCCCAACACCCCTCCTCCCCACACACACACACTCCCATATACCTCCGCCACACACCAACCACCCCACCACCATACCCACACTCCCATGTCCACCATACCCATCCCACACCTACACATGCCCACATTCCTCTTAGCCCCCACTCACACCTTACCACCACCATACCTTCCCAACCACACAGACCCCTCTACTCCCCAACACAACATACAAGAGCAAGACTATTTTGAGCTGTGAAGCAATCGCCTCTGTATACACTAGACCAGCGCACATAAATCAGGACAAAAATTGAAATAAAATTAAAATATGTTATAGCAAATGTTTGATTTTTAGTATGATTTATTTTTCTTTTCCACTTTCACGATGGCTACCCCCCCATCCCCAAAGGATTTCTTCTGGGGCAAGGGCAGGGACTTCCGGAGGCAAAAATCAGGGGTTAGGGGCAGGACTTCCAGTCCCAAGATGGGGACCAGGGGATGTGGCACCTGTTAAGGGGAGGGGCTATCCTTGTGGCCCTCGACGGCCCACCAAAACTCATTTGGCGGCCCTCCAGCCAAAGTAATTGCCCACCCCTACTCTATGCCTCTGTAGTGCTTTCAAATGTAAAATGATACCCTCTGGAGCCCCCAATCCTAACAGTTCCAGTGCTTTGGTTGCTGCCCATTGCTCAAGTCTCACTGTTCACATTAAAGTGGACAAGCAGAAAATGTAACAGAATTACACAAGGACTCCCACATACACAATGAACGGATACTAGGAAAGAAGCTAGGGACTGTAAAATTCTTACTTCAGACCTACCAGACATCCACAAGCCAGAGTCTGGCTTATAAACAGGAATTGATTTTGAACCTTGCAAACTTCTTTCCCTGTCCAAACATCTTTGATATTCAGAAATTTTTACAGTTACCTCTTTTACACATAATACAGAACACCACTTGGGTGTTCTTAGTTAGGATAATATATCAAGAATATTGTTTTGGAGAGTAAACTAACAAAGCAAGTGTAATTCTGTTCACTGAAGTTTATCAGCTCTTTATCACTGTGAAAACAAGACAAACTCAGCCTTAGCACCACAATTCCAATGAACAAAGAGCTGTCCTCTTCAAGTCTGTTCATAGCATCAGAAGTAGGCTGTTACCCATGACAGCTTAGGCCTCTCAGAATGAGTTAGTCCCTACTATACCATGCTGCCTTGCTTTCTGCCACTTCTAATGAAGTCAAGGAAATTCTATCTGCTTGGGCCAGGACTAAATTTGATCTTGCAACTTGGCATCATTACTTGTAATGGGTATCTGATAAACTAATCTTTTCCACTGCCCACTAAGACACTATTTCCTTGCATACAAATTGACACATCCCAAGTTTGATTGGGAAGTAGGACATCTGCTTTTCCCTCTATTCACTCATGTAACATATATAATTTATACTGTATTACAAAATGAAAGATACCTTAGTCTTTGGATCAAGATATCGATATGTACATATAGAATCATAGAAGTAGGGTCGGAAGGGACCTTGTAGATCTTCCAAGTCCGACCCCCCTGCCTGGGCAGGAGGAAAACTGGGCTCAAATGACCCCAGCCTGGTAGGCATCAAGCCTTTTCTTAAAGACCTCCAGGGCAGGAGCCAGCACCACTTCCCTTGGAAGTTGGTTCCAGATCCTAGCCGCCCTGACTGTGAAGTAGTTCTTATGGATGTCTAATCTAAACCTACTCTCCAACAACTTGTGGCCATTATTCCTTGTTATCCTGGGGGGCGCTAGGGGAAACAAGGTCTCCACCAAGCCCTTCTGGTCCTCCCTAGTGAGTTTATAGACGGTCACCAGGTCCCCCCTCAGCCTTCTCTTGTGAAGGGTGAACAGGTTCAGGTCCCATAGCCTCTCATTGTAGGGTCTGCCCTGCTGTCCCCGGATCATGCAGGTGGCCCTCCTA